GTCCTTCCTTTCACCCAAGTCAAAACTTGTCTCTTACCTTACTAGCAATTTTCCCTTCCCTCTTCTCCCATCCTGGGGAAAGTTTCCTTCCACATAGAACCCTTTCCTTGACTTTTTGCAATAGTGGACTCATATACTGTTTGTTCTTCTGTGATTGACTTATTTTACTCAGCATACGCTCCTCCAAGTTTATTCATATTATCCATATGAGGTGCTTTGTGGATACTTCATTATTCTTTAGCGTTGAATAGGATTTTACTGTGTGTATGTGCCATAGTTTGGTTATCCATTCATCCATTGATGAGCACATAGGTTGTTTCCATCTCTCTGCTATTATGAATAGTGTTTCGATGAACATGGTTGTGCATATATCTGTTAATGTCCCAACTCTCACTTTAAGATATAAATCTAGTGCTAGGATTGCTGGATCAAATGGTATTTTGGTTTCTAACTTTTTAAGGAAGTGTCATATCATTTTCCATAGTGATTGTGTCATCTTACAGTCTCACCAGCAGTCCAGCAGGGTATGAGAGTGCCAGTCTCTCCACATCCTTGCCAACATTTGTTATTTTGTCTTGTTGAACTTTGGTATTATTCCTGGAGTGAGATGGTATCTTTTTTTTTTTTTTTCAATTGTGATTTGGGTGAAAATTTACAGAGCAAATTCACTTTTCATACAGCAGTTCACATACACTTTATCTCATGACATTGACTACAATTTACCCCAGTGTAACAGCTCCCCTCCCACTTCCTCCCGATAGTTACCTCTTCCCTGTATCTATCCCTCCATGTACTCCTGCCCCTGAGCTGTCTCCCTGTGCATAAGCAGCCCTTCTTTCTCCCATGATTATTCTCTCCAAGGAGTGTATCTACCTCAGGTAAATGTTCACCTCATATGCCTGTCTTTTGTTTGGCTGGAAGCCACAGGTGTGGGTTCAATTCCAGACTTGAAGGGGAACTAGGGGCCATAGTCTCAGGGGTTCTACCAGGCTCTATCAGACCAGCAAACCTGGTCCCCCTCCCTTTTTTTTTTCCAAATGATTTTGAGTTTTGTTCCACATTGTTCTCTCTCTCTATCCAGGATCTCCTACATAGATCCCCCACTGAGTGGTTGACAGTGGTAGCCAGGCACCATCTAGTTCTTGTGATCTCATAGTCGTACAAGGTGTGAATCACATGGAGTACCAGTCGCTACGACTAATTCTTTCCATGAATCTTTGGTTTTCTTCATTCTTCTTTGCTCTGGGTGAGGAGAGACCCATCGTTGAATCTAGATGGCTGCTTGCAAGCTTTTAAGATCCCAGTTGCTACTCACCAAAGTAGAAGGTGGAGCAATATTTTGTGTAGTATGTTATGCCAATTAAGCTTGGTGTCCCCTGTGACTATAGTCCTGAGCACACCGGTTCCACTACCTGGTCCCTCTGGGCAGCTGGCTGTGCCCAAGAAGTGACTACAACCTTATTCTTTGTCAGCTGTATTATACACCTGGGAATTCAGATCATACAAATACACTTATAGGACCATCGTCTGCTAACCCTATACATGGTCTTGGGTGCACTCCCTGCTTCATGTTGTTGTTGTTGTTATGTGCCGTTTAGTTGGACCCGACTCATAGCGACTGCTCCTTGGGTTCCTGAGACAGTATCACTACGGAAGTAGATTGCCCCATCTTCCTTCCGAGGAGTGGCTGGTGGGTTTGAACTGCCAGCCTTCTGGTTAGCAGCCAAGTGCCTTAGACACTGTGCTACCAGAGTTCCCCCTGCTTCATAGAAATACCTAATATTTCAGCCTGTCCACTCATCTATCTACCCGTATACCCATGTTTGCCTTCACTGACAATGCAGAACTGTATGTGCAGCAGGGTTCATCTTTGTTGTCTGTACCTCCCATGTACCTCTGTATGTCTTCCTCTTCCTCAATGCCACCATGTTGATCACTCATATTTGGTACATTGCCCTTCTTTTCACTCACATCAGTACTTACCTCTATCTATCTAACAGTGTTCCCTCCTTTCCCCTCCCACCCCTGGAAACCAACAAAGAAAATTTCCTTCCATACGTAAACCTTTCCTTGACTTTTACAATAATGACTAATAAAATATTTGTCCTTCTGTGATTGGCTTATTTCACTCAGCAAAATGTCCTCCAAGTTCATCCATGTTCTGCAGTGTTTTGCAGATTCTACGTTATTCTTTAGGGTTGCATAGTGTGTATGTACCATAGTTTGGTTATCCATTCCTCAGTTGATGGACACCTAGGTTGTTTCCATGTTTTGGCTATTGTAAATAGTGCTGCGATGAACATGGGTGTGCCTATGTCTGTTCTTGTCATGGCTCTCATTTCTTTAGGATATATACCTAGCAATGGGATGGCTGGGTTAAATGGTATTTCTTATTCCAACTTCTGAAGGAATTGCCATACTGCTTTCCACAGTAGTTGCACCATTTGCAGTCCCACCAGCAGTGTATGAGAGTCCCAATCTCTCCACATGCTTGCCAGCATTTGTTATTTTCTGTTTTGTTGAACTTTGCTACTAGCGCTGGAGCATGATGGTATATCATTGTTGTTTTGATTTGCACCTCTCTAATGGCAGGCAGTGTGAGACCTCCTACTTTGTTCTTCTTCAATAGTGCTTTGCTTCTCTGAGGTCTCTTTCCTTTCCTGAGATGATATCTTATTCTTATTTTGATTTAGATCTCTCTAAAGGAGTTCTGG